AACTCTTTCAAACCCTGAACACAACGCCGTCTCTACTAACAATATCATGCTACATCACTTCATTTTGAAGGGAAGCAGATTTGATGTTTTTAAAACATACAAAAATGATATATTGCAACTATGTATTAGGCTACTTGTACTTTCTGGCAATGTCATGAATTAGCCTACCAAATGCACCATCCTGATGTTTCTTTGCAAGCCATTCATTCCATTCAATGACTGCAAGGTGGTCAGAAAGCAAACAGTCAGTGCGATTTCCCCTAAGCCTCCAAACCTGCTCCTTGTATGATCTCCATGCCCTCTCAATATGCTGTGTATGGGCACCTGTGTGGGGTTCCACATACCACCTGCTGTGGTTGACAGTGTGATGGTTGTACCCTTAATCAGGGAGTATGCAATAAACACACCACTCATTACTGATAATTGATGATCCTAACCTCACATGACGAGCAATCAAAGGCACTTGATGCCTCCTAGATCTTTTTTTTCAACAAGTAGAAGTGACGTAGAATTGGCTTTTGTCTTCCCTGGTCATGTTGGACATCTAACATCCCAAAGACCCACTGCTTTCTTTTCCATCCACCAGTCATTCTTCCTCTTCCATACTGAAACAAAAATCAGAGATGTTATGAAATAGTTTTACCACACAAATGTTACAGGAATCAGCATATTTTGCCATAACACACCTTTCTTTTGTGTCGAAAATGGCTTTCATCAATAACAACAAATTCCCTTCTTCCTCCAATCAGTTGGCCTGTGCGTCTTCTCATCCTTTCAACTGCTGTCACACAGACATCCCTTAATTTTTTTGCCATTTTGCTGAGTGTTGCTGAACTGGCTGCAATTTCGTCAGCCATCATATCAATCTGCCTTAATCTTAGAGCCTGACAAATTAAAATATACTTTTGTATCAAGGAAAAAGTATTCAGAATTGCAATTTAATATAATATTTGTGGTTACATTGGTTTTTTTTTAAACAACCTGTACATAAAATGTATCCACTTTCTCAAAGATACTTTGGATCGCCTGAATATGCAGTTGTGCCTGACAGATGTTTGTTTTGGCCTCCCCAAATGGACTGGATGTCAGCAGATCCTGTTTAAAGAGGAAGAATACAAAAATAACAATTATATTATAACATAGTTGTATGTGTGTATAATTGTACAGTATTTTATAATATAATTATAAGACACACACATCAAATATAAATGAAATCTAACAAATCAAATATACAGTATAAATACCAGGCAAATTGATCTCCACTGTTTGATCTTCTCTTCAGCGTCATGTCATGATGGCAGGTTTTGCATTTTATCTTTCTTTTCAGTAGTTTCTTCTTTTGGAGCCA